CTATTTTTGTATATATTTGTATTGTGACTTTGATTCGGAGAACGTTAGTTATGAGTGTGGTACACTTAGAAAGAGATGGATTGCGTGAAAGGTGACATGATCAAGAAGGGAGTGATGACTGAGATGACGTATGATAGTTATTTGGAGCACAAAACCTGTCGCGCCGACCCTACGGGAGTCATATAAGGAGGAGGAGGATGATGAAGATGATGATGTATTTTTCCTTTGTGTCACACCGAACACTCCCTCGAGCCTTTGCGATTTCCATATATATTGCATCACGAAAATAATAATAAAAACATTTAGTTCATTTAGTTTCTGGCTTTAACGAAAAACAGGAAACTACAAGATTAATTAATTAATGTTTTAGTAAACAATAAATCATTATTCACCTTCTATACTTATATAATAATAAAGCGTAAACACACACTTCTTTGTTGCCAAGATGTCAGTAATTACAGCATGTTTTTGAATAATTCTTTTTTTTAATACAAAGCCCCACATTTACGTCACGCTTAAGGCGCGTATTTTCACGCTATTAAACTTCGGGGGTAAATATTTTGGATAAAAACCCTAATGTGGGAAAGAGACCATAAGTTGCTGCCAACATCAAGGAAGCAAGATTGCCAAGGTTTGTTGTCATGTCATTTTGACATTTGCAATTGTCAATTTGACACATGTAAACAATAAAATAATTTATGCTGATAAAATCGCACGGGAACAGCTAGTAGATTATAAGAAGGGAAGTAGGAATTAATATTAAGAGCTAGCGCATACTTTGACTAAACTATCGCACAATAGTTGTGCGATTGTCGATTGCTTGCAGCGATCAACTGTTTAGTCGCACAACTAAAAATGGAGTAGTGTGCGCCTAGGTATCGGTAGACTAAACAGTTATGCGATAGTTCGCTTAGCCAGTAATAGTTTCTTTTGTTTATTCGATACTAGCTTTCGCCCGCGACTCCGTCCGCGTGGTATTAAAAAAAAACAAAAGTAAATAGCCTATGTGTTCTTCCAGACTATCCACTACATCTATGCCAAATTTTATTAAAATCCGTTCAGCAGTTTAGGCTACAAACTCTAACAAACATCCATCTAAACTTTCGCATTTATAATATTAGTATGATTAGTTAAAAAAGACACACGATCAGTCTATCTTTGTCGTTAATTAATTATTAGGCAGCGCAAGCCCAGAGTTAAGACATAGTAATTTTAATGCCGTGATCCAGAAATATTTTGTTTATCAATAGTAACATTAGTAATAATAATATATAGTCTATGTTACTCACAGATAAATTACCTTTCTAATGGTGAAAGAATTTTTGAAATCAGCCCTGTAGTTTTTAAACTATTTCAATACATACAAAAATACAAATCTTTCCTCTTTATAATATTAGTATAGATTAACGCAGTGGTACAACGTTCTTTTGACTAACTGTATGTCGCTGAGTTTTAAATTCGTTTCGCAAAAAAAGTCCGTTATTGTGTTCACTAAACCATCGCTCCAGATTTAAATTTGGAACGTTTGACTGTAAACGTATTCAAAACGTGGGTTTACATTGTTTTAATATTGACATCTCTTTTATTCTTTGGGGAAAAACTGAGATAACTAACCGTTCTGTTGGATTTTAGAAATCGGATACGCAATGTCGAAGGTTTGAATCTGAAAAATAAGTGACAATCGAAATGTATTCTTTCAAATTGTTTTAAATCTTAAAAATTAATCAGAATGCATTCTTGTAAAACGAATTAACTAGATTTTTAACAGTAAAAATTCTAACACAGTAATTAATTGCAAATTCGCTGCATAACAGTTAAATAAATAATTACTATGTAATTAAGAGTTGCTTAACCGCCAGACAAAACCGCAGCAGGGATAATACGATTATATTCAAGGCTAGGAACGTGAAAATTGAACCCTATGTCTCAAGAATTTATTACAAAGTAGCACACACGACATAGTAAAAAAAAGTCTACGGGCATATCCCACCACTGGCTGATAGAGGCTCAGATAGCTTAACATCACTATCAGATATGGGAACAAAATCCGTTATTTCCATCAGATATTTTACATGTATTATTATCAGACAATTTAATATTTGGGACAGGCCCTTAGTAGTTTTCCAAACTATACTTGTAAAGTTTTATAATTCTTTTTGATATATTCTGAAATAATCGAAACTGAATTTAACATGAACTTGATAACCCTATTAAGGATGAAGTCGTGATGATTTTTTTACAAAACGTCGCGTCATTGCAACGGTTGTCGACCGAAAGCCGTACTCAATTGGCTTGCATTGAATTAGGTCTGTAAATGTACATTATGATTATTACCAATACTGTTTGCATTGCCAACTTATAAACTTTATTGTGTTACTAAAGCCGCTGTACACGGACTAGGTACTCCAAAATATATATCTGTTCTGTTGCAGAAACTTAGGAAATCCTCAATAATAATAAATTAATTACAAGAAAATTGTAAATGCGAAAGTTTAGTTGGATGACTAAAAAACAGTCTTTTTGCTTTTGTTTTTTTTTTCAATTCCACGCAGACGGAATCACGGGCGAAAGGTAGTATAAAATAGTATGTTAAGATTCGAATATAATGGTTCGAGATTGTCCAAGTGCAGGGCTTAAACGTGGCCCCACGACCGGAGGAAAAGAATCGTAATAACGAGCTCGCCTATGAAGGCGAGTATATGTATACTTGCCACCAATACACGTAATGTCTCGTAATTGCAAGCGAGAATAAAGTTTGGATTTTTTTTATAACATAAGGTGGCAAACGAGCAAGCTGCGACCTGAATCCGCCAAAATGGAGAAGCGACCGCTGCCCAGACATCCGCGATCGCAGATGCGTTGCCTACCCTTATCCGACGGAGGAGACGCACATAAAGAGGATATTGCCCCTTCCTATGCATCTCCTTCACCGTCAAATCCACTTCCCTTTCCCATCCTCTTCTTATAAGAAAAGGGTGATAAAGAGAAAGGGACTTAAATTAGGCCTCCGGCACTACACTCATCAGAAACGCGGAATTGCTTCCATTTCACGCCTATCTTCTGTGTGGTCGTGGTATACACCGGGCGTGCCGGCCCATTCTTGCGAAGATGTTAAAGCGGGCACTACCACTGTTAAACGTAATGTAACGTAATGTCTCGTAATTTCGAGCGATAATAAAGTTTGGATATAACTGTATCAAAGTAATAATTATATCATTGATGATAAAATCTAAACAATGTTTTTTTATAAACAATTGTATTTACATTGTATTATACTAGATTTGTTCGCGTCATTCAACATAATGTACAGTGTTGTTCAAACTTTATGGCCACTCGAAATTTCAATGCCTTACTCAGGCTACATTATAGTATTTAAATCTGACAATCCTTTTACTAAGGACTAGCTGTTGCTCGCGACTACGCCCGCGTGTATTTAACCTGTAGTCTATAACTCACTGATAACATAGCTAATGGTGAATAATTTTGAAATTGGCCCAGTTTTTGAGTTATTTCAATACATACAAAAATACAAATCTTTCCTCTTTATAATATTAGTATAGATATTAGCTATTTTATATGATCCTAGAATACTGTAAAAGCAGAAGGTTAAAGAAATGGGCAAAACTGAGGCACACTAAACCATAAAAAATATACATTTTTTTATAATATAAGGTGGTTAACGAGCAAGCGGCCACCTGAATCCACCAAAATGGCGAAGCGACCGCTGCCCAAAGACATCCGCAATTGCTTGCTGCAAATCCGCTTGCTCGTTTGCCACCTTGTGTTATAAATAAATAAAATAAAGATGCGTTGCCTACCCTTATCCGACAGAGGAGGAGACGCACATAAAGAGGATATTTTCCCTTAATATGCATCTCCTCCACCGTCAAATCCACTTCCCCTTCTCATCCTCTCCTTATAAGAAAAGGGTGGTAAACAGAAAGGGACTTAAATATGGCTTAAATGATTTATTTTGTAACATAATAATGCTTAGAAGATACATTTATTTTTCATAACAAATTCCTAACATAACATATTTAGTCAGCTACATTAAAGTTTAAAATTATCTTGAGAATTTTAACAATTAACTCTCCTAATGGGTAATATTATCTTGCAGGGCTACTTAACCCAGACATAGTGATAAGCCATTATCCACTTTACATACAGAGTGTTACTAAAGTGAAATATAGAGTGTTCTTTTTGGATGAAATAAAATTAAAGAAATAAATTAAATAGACAAAAAATAAATTTGGACAGAGACTTGGCCTGTATAAATATTGGGTTTGTCGTATTAAAACTGTGGAAGCAGAGAATTATACGGAGAACCTTCATTTATTATTACATTCATTATTTCTGTTATAGACAATTTTTTGTGCTAAATTTTGGTGAGGTAGCAACAAAATTTATTAGCCTGTTTAATCTTATTTGCTTGTAAATCAATTTTATTGAGTTAAAAATTAAAGATGTGATGATATAGCTTGCTTTTGTTTGATTGAATAAATTTGAAACATATGTATGATTTTATATAGTTTGTTTTCATTCCAATTCTCTCCAAGGGAATGTAGAAAAGTGAAATAGTGATTGGTTTGTAAAATGCCTAGCTAAGTTAAAAAATAATTAAATGAAGGTGTAATTTAAAAAGAATTTGTTTACTTGTAATTTTTTTCATTTAAATAATTATCGGATTCTAAATTAACTTAATTTACTATTTTCATTTAGAAAACATGAATAAATCAAGCATTTCTTTAATGTAAGTTATTTTTTAAATAATTATAACTTTTTTCGAGTTACATAATTTGCTAAAAGTATTCAAAAAGATATAGGCTAAGGTAATGCTATTTTCTGTATTCAATTAGCCTAACCCTCACCTACTGACACATTTCTATTGAGTCATTTCAAATAAGAATCATCTTTGCTATTTTAAGATACAGAAAACGCGAAATTTTGGTATTTCAAACAAATTCGCGCGCAAAATGAAAAAGTACAAAGACCATACTCACAATACGATCGACGTAACGACTTTGGAATGCAACAAATGCATCAGATGGTATAAAACTTTTTTCTTTTATTTTTTCAAACGTATATCACAAGCATTTCCGGATAAGTAACGAGTTAATGTGAGCAAAACTTATAAAACTATCCAGTTTTGTTAGTAAAGTAAAACGATGCGTTAAAAATTAAAGATTCCAGTCAAAAACTTACAGTTTTTTTCTTTAAATTCACTACATAAAAATACTTTATTGAAATTAAACTACACTCACGTTCACTTTCTACACTACTTTACTGCGAATGTCAAACTTTTTCACGCGCGAATGTTGCCAGACGTTTCAACGGTTAATCCTACCAAGTCTAATAAATTTTAAAATTGAGTAACTATTTTATTTAATTTCTGCTTGGAATAGAATTACTTTTGAAACATTATGAAATAAGACATTTTGACACACATGTTCTAAAGATCCTAACTTATATGAATCTAATATTTTCTTACTGCACAATTTTGATAGATTTCGGTAGGTACGCCAATGAAAAAAATTAAAGGAAACTTCTTAATACAAGTAAAGTATTGGCATTAGTAGCTTGGTAACAACAAGGTAAATAAAACATCATATGAACAGTAAACGTTTTATTGTAAATATTCTTTTATTTCCCCTTACATTCGCGATGCACTCATTACCAAAGCATTAGATATTCGCGATGGTTTTTACAATATGGCTCTAATAAAACCAGTTTATTATTCCAATATTATGTTACCATGAGTTTATAACCATCGCGAATTTCCCGAAATCTCGGCAAAACCTTAAGCAATATGCACAATGGCACTTCAGTCGGCTATATTATGCACTTACATTCTAGTTGACTATCATTTTCCAGCAATATCCCCGCCAATGTAAATGAGATGTGCAAAAAAAATACAACACTAATAACATAAAAGAGGTAACAATGACAAGAATAAAATTTTTAGGATTTTTCCATGGCAACATGCAATAAGTAGTCTAAGAAAGGATAACATTGTAAGTGATATTTGGATTTTTTTAATTTAAATTAAGAATTAACGTTATAAATTTACGTAATATAGAAGTATACTTTATAAATTTTTAAGAGAAACTTTGATTTGTGAATAACCTTTTAGTAATTTTTATTGCAATTTAAGCTCATGGTGTAGCAAGAATAGTATGATGATTAAAAATTGTGACCATAAAAATTTCCCGTGAAAGTAATCATGCAATATTGAAAAAAAAAATAAAAACACGAGAGAACTTATAGAATGAAGTTGATATTTGTGAAGATTTTTAACAGTACCATTATAAGGCGAATTAGCGCTTAGTAACCACTAATTTAAACTTTTATCTAAGAATTTTAAATTTGTTCTAGTTGTTTAAAAATTTGTAATGTAATTAGCGTAGAAGAATATTTTTTTAATAAAGATAATTATAGGAGTAAGTATTTCATAATAATTATAGTCATATTATTTTGACTAATTCAAGTTAAAGTGTCGATCTAAAGAGTTTTAAAGATAGTATTATACTACGGCAAAACAGTGTCTAATTTTAAAACTATGCATGTTTATAAGATCTTTTAATTGCGGTAATTTTTTTGTCTTTGCTTATGGTAACACTGACAATGTACGGCGTTGGCGCCATTGATTTATATTTTATAAACATGCTTTTACAATTTTATTGAAGAGTTAAATAGCTATTTACTGATTAAAACTTGACACGAGATTAGAAAAATATTGCTTTTTAAAATAGACAAACTTTGCATACATTATTACACTGTTGGAACTACGTGCTATTATTATTTTATAGGCGGGGCAAGAGGTTAAATTTTAAACTAACCAAATCCAGCAAGATTGTAACGTTAAATTACTGTTAATAATTAGAAGAATATTTTAAAAATAATTATAAGCCAAGAAAAAGGTGAGCTTCAAAGATAGGTTATAATAGCGACAAAACATTACAGTTAACTCTAACTTCAAAATATGCGTTCCTTACATTCCAATTTTAAATTTACTATGTCGATATTTTTTTAAATATACCATTTTACATAATCGACTAACATATAACGTTTATTCTGCCAAAGCGATATGTTTTCTTATTGTAGCATCGTGTTTCATGCAATTCGTACTTTTGTAATATAACCGTTTGTGTTATCAAATACTATATAATATTCACACCTAACAATCATTTTGCTCCGATAAACCAATAGTGGCCCTAACTGTACATAAAGCATTATTATAAAATAAAATCTAGACTTTAACACTAGTTTTAACTAAGCTATGCGTTTGCCACTTACATTAAATCGGATTATTACCGCCATTTTGTTGCCAGTTAATGGCTACTTCCTTTTTGAATTATTTTTTGTTTCTTTTTCGCTTTTATTATCAAAGCGATTAATTTATATGAGTCGTATTGTCTGGGAGTTGATGAGTTGATAATTTAGAATTATGTTGTGAGGCACAATTTTAAGTAGTAAGGTTAACAATACTGAATTAAGCATTCCTAAATGGTAAATGACGTTGAAGAAATTAAAATGATTGCGTCAAAAATAAAGTAAAATATGAGATCTCATCTCATTGAATAATAATATGGTATGAGATGATTTTTAAGCGCTAAAACCAAGACGAAGCTCCGCCGAGTTTGGTAGAAAGTTCACCAATACCGCGACCAAACATGTTGCCAACCTAAAAAAATAGACAACGAATTAGGGAAAATTGTCATTAACATAAAATATATTACATATATTGACTGTTTAATTACATAATACAGTAATTTAAAATTTATTTATTTATTAAATAAAAATATTAACCTTTCCAACGACAGCGCCGACGTTTCCCAATTTAGCGTCTTCAGTGAGAGATTCCAATTTAGACTTTCCACTTCTAGATCCTTCTTCAGACCCACCGTCGTCGCCGCTGTTGAAGCAGATCATATTATTATTTTAAAAGACGCATAACATACAATAATTTAGAACACAAATAAAGGACATTCTATTAAAATATAAATTATTTTTTTTTTTGGAAAATAAACATTTTCACAAAATTCATTGTGGCTCTCCTGAACTAATTATGCAACTGTGTTTCAAGAGACAGGACCTTCTCTTATACATTATCAAATTATTATTAACAGTTAGTTGCAACATTTAAAGAGATATATATTTGATTGAATACTCTATGATAAGTTGTTGCATCATGTTGGTAATACAACGCCTCGTATGAGCGAGACAGTAGTTTTTCTGTTAGAGTGAGAGAGTGGTAGCTGTAGAAGTGTATCCCAGTGGAGGGAAAGGGACAGCTGACCCAGTGTATAATATTGGTATTACAATGCCTCGTATGATTGCGAAAGTAGTTTTCCTGTAAGAGTGAGACAGTGTTATTTGCGGGAAAGGGAAAGGGACAGCTGACCCCGTGTCCTGCTGCGCGAGGAGCAGGCTGCAGGTGGTCTCCTCGGCGTGCATGCGCGCGGCCACAGCTTGGTAATTCTTGCAGTTCAGCTTGTCGTCGATGACGCCTTGCAGCTCGAAGTCGCTGTACATTTTCTGCAACAAAAACTTTACACTTTTAAACTGTACCTAAAGTATATAAATATTATTTGCCAGTAACTGGCAAGTTACATTCTTTTCCCATTTTTGTTAATGATCGCAGATTGAATGTCCATTAGTGTTATATAAAAGTAAATCTATAACATAGTCTTTTGACACAATTTACTTGTATTATAGATACTACAGTTTAGATGGAAGGATGTGTGTTAGAGTATACCGCCTAAATGGCTGAACGGATCGCGGTGATATTTGTTATCTTTGTAGAGTAAAGTCACGAACACATAGGCTATTCAGTTTTGTTTTTAATACCACGCGAAGGCAGTCACGGGTGAAAGCTTACATTATAAAATAAGGGTATGGCCAGGAGGTAGGGGAGGCAGTTGTCTTCCAAAAGACAATAATTGTAGAATATTAATAATAACTACTCAAAATAAGACCATACTTGTATATATATATATATATATATATATGACATGTTGCAAGTTGCCCCTGATAAATCTAGACAATATCATTGACTGGCGACGCTCAAGTCGTATATTTAACAGTGGTAGAGCCCGCTTTAACATCTTCGCACGAATACGCCGGCTCGCCCGGTGTAATACCACGACCACACAGAAAACAGTCGTGAAGTGGAAGCAATTCCGCGCTTCGTCTGATGAGTGTGGTGCCGGAGGCCTAATTTTAGTCCCTTTCCCTTTCCACCCTTTTCTTAAGAAAGGATGGGGAGGAAAAGTGGATTTGACGGTGGAGACGTATAGGAAGGGGAAACGTCCTCTTTATGTGCGTCTCCTCCTCCGTCAATTAAGGGTAGGCAGCACATCTGCAATTGCAGATGTCTATGGGCAACGGTCGCTTCGCCATTTCGGCGATTTCAGGTGGCCGCTTGCTCGTCTGTCACCTTTGTTATTAAAAAAACTTCTATCATTTAAAACTAAAGAAATTAGAAAAAACCATAGTATACAGTAGTTATGATTTAAAAATATATCCCCTACCTTATCCGAGTCCCGTAAACGCACCAGGTTATACTCTTTCAAATAACTCTATCCGTCATCTCAGTCACTCCCTTCATCATGTCACCTTTCAATCCATCCATCTCTTTCTACGTCTACCTCTATGGTCTACCAAATCCAGAAGTAACGTCTCTGTTGTTACATGCGATATAACAATGATTAGAATGTAACTATTGACCTTGAGTATGATGGAGAGGCAGGCGACCTGGTGCGGGTGCAGCGCGGGGCGCTCCGCCAGCCACGTGTTCACCATGTCCACCTGGATGTCGTACCACTGCTCGAACAGCTGCAGGATCCACAGCTCGTCCGTCACCTGTCACAGTTGCAGCTGATCACAGACTGATCTGCTGGACTGAATAACCTTTTTATCGCCATCAAAAAACATATTTGAAGAGTAACAGATGCCAAAAGGAGGTGGCTCAGCTTAACCGATACTGGTTGAGATCCAGTGTTGAGTTGGTTTTGCCAACAACCCCCTTTTTAAAGGAAACAAGCTTAGAATGATATTCGAAACTTCCAATTGCTATGTTTTATAGTCTTCTTCAAAAAATAGGAAAATATGAATAATTTACAAAGCAGTCAAAATTTTATCAGTTAAGCAACCTTAAACGGTGGTAAAGCCCACTTAACGTGTTAGCACTGTAGGGCTCGCCCCCAGTAATACCACGACCACACAAAAGACAGACGTGAAGTGGAAGCAATTCCGCCTACAACCTGATACCTCTTTGAAAGGATGGGAGAGTAAAGTGGTCAAACCCACATCTAAAGGAGGAAAAGCATAGTAAGGACTAATAGCTAATTGCTCCTTTACCACCTTGTGACATAAAGAAAGGTAATTTACCTTCGACCTGATTTGGTCCATCGAGTTCCTCATGAAGTTGACGTAGCCCTGGCCGATGTCCTTGCCGGATCCCGACACATTCGCTATGGTCAGGATGGAGCCGATCAAACTGAAATAAACAGTGATTTTTTTTTAAATAAATGTATTCCCAATAGTAAGAGAGGGCGTACACCTTCGACTAAACTATCGCACGACTGTTTAGTCTCTTTTTGATTAAAGAGCTTATATGGAGGTTACACTACTCGATTATTAGTTTTACAACTAAACAGTAGAACGGGAAACAATTAACAATCGCACAAGTTATGCGATAGTTTTGTCAAAAGTGTACGGCTTCTCTAATGAAAGTATTTTAATATAAACATAATGTTAATAAAGTATAAAATAAACTAAAAAAATAATATTGAATGTAAGACGATGATGATGGGGAAATTAAGAAATGTTTGCTGGTAACACTAAAACTTATAGATGCCTTATCAAGATAGGTATGTTATGGCAGTTTTTTGACATATATATATCTACTAGCTGTTCCCGTGCGACTTCATCCGCATAAAAATATTAAAAAATCACATTTGTCAAATTATCAATAGCAAATATCAAAATGACATGACATGATGACAACCTTGCTTCCTTAATGTTGGCAACAAATTATGGTCTCTTTCCCACATTAGGGTTTTTATCCAAAATATTCACCCCTACGTTTAATGGCGTGAAAACATAGCCTAAAGCGTGACGTAAGTGTAGGGCTTTTTATTAAAGAAAGAATTATTCAAAAATATGGTGTAATTGCTGACATTAGGCAACAAAGAAGTGTGTGTACAGATAGAGGCGGGGAGAGGCGAGGAGACGCGAGCTACCTGCCCTCGTCGAAGCGGGCGATCTTGGCGAGCGTGGCCTCCAGCACGGCCGACAGGCGCGTCGTCATCCCCGTGGACATCGCCAGCAGGCAGGCCTCGATCTGGGCATCCATTTTTGCGTGATACTGGTACTAGAAGGAATCGTTATTATGTACTAAACATGAACATGATGGCGGTAAGCAGTGAACCATTCACCGTGCTAGAGGGTTCTACACCCTGTTAGGGGTTGAACAATATATATTTTTATATAAAAAAAGCTAATTTAATTGCTACTTTTAATGTAATTAATACAATACAAATTTTAAATTCAACAAAATTGATTATAGAATTTGAAAATTTAAAACAGATTTTGTAACTACACTTTATTTTTTTTTTTGATTTTTTATAAAGATTACTTTAATAAATATACCTTTATGGTTTTTAACCAATTGTCTGATTAATTACAACGTATAAATTCCCTCATACTTACAGCGAGTGAAGGATCCATGGCCTTGTAAAATAATAATAAAAGAACGAAAGACATGCAGGAAATTAAAACAAAAAATTAAAAATAATCAACAAAACATTGGAAATAAATTATAATAAAATCAATATATTAACTACAAAATAGTGGAAATTAAAAAAAATCTACAAAGAATTCAGAGAAAGTTGGTCAACATTCTTGTCACCTAAAATACTGAACAAGAGAATATTATTAATTATTTATACAACGAAATATTCTAAACAGATAGGTTTCACATTATTCACAATCCTAATGACACATAATATCAACTTATACCTCCCAAGTTAGGTTGGCGATGTCTGGAAAAAACTCAACATAACATCGATTGATAAAAATGACTTTTCATTCCTAAAAAGAACCTTTTAACAACATTTTTAGCTTAAATAAACTTATAAAAAAACTTCACGTTTATTATTTTATACTAGCTGTGCCCCGCGACTCAGTTCGCGTGAAATTAAGGCGCTGTATTCGTGACAATTTGCGTTTTTTGAGGGGAAGAAGTAGGCGCGCAAACAATGTTAGATCGCGTGAGTCGAGTATCGTCATTCTACGTCAGCCGTGTCCGAACTCCGCGAAGCGCCATTCAGACTCCGATTTAAATTTTTTACATTAAGTTTATTTATATCCGTTCATCCGGACTATCCTCTACATATAGCAAATTTCATCAAAATCCGTTTAGGCTACAAACTCTAATAAAGATCCATCTTAACATTTATAATATAAGTATCTTTATTTCTTATCTAATTTTACTAATATTATAAATGCGAATGTTTAGATGGATGTTTGTTAGAGTTTGTAGCCTAAACTGCTGAACGGATTTCGGTGAAATTAGAAAGAATACATAGGCTACTCACTTTTGTTTTTTAATTCTACGCGGACGGAGTCGCGGGCGAAAGCTAGTATATAACATATTTAACATGATTCATATTAGTATGTTAACAATAGTTTTTTTTACTAATAATGTAATTTTCCAAAAAAAAAATCATTTTTAATCGACGATCTCTAAATACTCGCCGACCCCACGTGAGTGGGACAAGAAGGGGGGTATGGTGATGAATGAACAACCTTACGGCTCAGAAGTGAAGCCCCATTGTGAAGTGATTACTCACGACATCGACGCCCTCGACCGCGCAGAGCTTCAGCGCCTGGTTCTTGGCGTCGAGCGCCACGTTTACCATCGCACACGTCTCCGCGGGCAGGATGTAGTCCGTCGACATGAAGGTCACGCTCTTCTTCAGCCACGACTGTATACATCCATTATATCATCAACTAACAAACAAGAATAAATCGACCGTCCATGTAAAATAAAAAAATTATAAGCAACTCAAGACAGGCCACACCTTTGAGTAAACTATCTGTTGTGCGATAGTTTCACAGTCAACTGTATAGTTGCACAACTATTTTTTTTTATAACATAAGGTGGCAAACGAGCAAGCGGCCACCTGAAATCGCCAGAATGGCGAAGCATTCGCTGCCCATAGACATCCGCAAATGCAGATGCGTTGCTTACCCTTATCCGACAGAGGAGGAGATGCACATAAAGAGGATATTTCCCCTTCCCATGCATCTCCTCCACCGTCAAATCCACTTCCTCTTCCCAACTTCTCATAAGAAAACGATGGTAAAGAGAAGGGGACTTAAATTAGGCCTCCAGCACCACACTCATCAGACGAAACACGGAATTGCTTCCACTTCACGTCTGTTTTCCGTGTGGTCGTGGTATTACTGGGGGCGTGCCCTGCAGTGCTAAGATGTTAAAGCGGACACTACCACTGTAGTTGTTCTGGAGATTCCTTCTAACAACCATTCATCTATACTTTCACATTTATATTAGTAAGAAGTAAAATGGGGTAAATACGGTCTATACCGACCAAGGAGACAGCAATAAGGCCGCCCTTGCGAAATTATTGTCTTAGCTTTTAAGTATATGTTAACTTTTGTGCAAAAAAATTAATAAAACTTAAGAAGAAGGTTGATAAAAATGGACATAAATGGTTTAAGATTTTAATAAATCACAGATTTTCAAAGTTTACATACTTGGAAGGAAGCTTCCGTCTTCTGGATGCAGGTCTCCATCATGTCGGACGCCATCAGCTTCAGGCGCTGCTCCAGGTGCGAGCGGAAGTCGGGCTCCGGCCAGTGCAGGTCCCTGATGAAGCTCTGCAGCGCGTCCAGCTTCCAGAACAGCTCCTCGCTCGTTGAACATCCGTTACTGAAAAGGCAGAAATCCTTAAGTAGAAGAAATGCTTGACTCTTGAAGGGGTATGTACTATACTTTATAGTGGTAGAGTCCGTTTTAACATCTTCGCATTCTAAGGTCGCCAACAGAAATACCACGACCACACAGAAAACAGGCAAGTGAAAGCAATTCAGCATTTCATCAAATGTGTGCCGGCTTAGTTTTAGGAGTATTCCCAACCGTCGCCCCGCTCTGTCCCCACGTGAGATTAAAGTTTCATCCGTCCCACCTTTTAGTCCAACTATCATCCGTAAGGTGACACATGGAATTGTTATGAAATAAATTAAGTTACAACCGTCCCCTCGTCGCAAAAGGTGGAAGAGATTTTTTTTTTAATCTCATCTGTCCCCACGCGGGCACAGTGCGGGGAGACGGTTGGGAATAATCTTAATTTTAGTCCCTTTTCCTTTTCATTCTATTCTCATAAGGAAAAATTAGAAGGGATAGTGGATTTGACGATGGAGCAGACGTCATCTATCAATTAAGGGTAAGCAACGCATCAATTGCGGTAGTCCATGGCCTGCGGTCGCTTCGCCATTTTAGCGGATTCAGGTGGCCGCTTGCTCGTTTATCACCATATGGTATAAAAATTCTACAGAACAGATAGATAATATGAATAATTCATTAAAGAAAGTTGTTACTAACCCTTTGATTTCCCATCTCTCCTTTTCGAATCCTTTGTGCAGAGATTGCGCGATCGATGATTCCATCAGGTCCACGTAGCGCACCACCAAGGGGGCGAAGGTGTCGCGTAGGTGCTCGTGGAATCTACCTCCTTTGAGGTTATCTGTAAAGATACATCTAGAATAAAAGGATAGCTACGACTAGCTGATAGTTTCATCACCATCATCAGCTCACTATACGTCCCCTAAGGGACTCGGAGCCTACACTAAGTAAGGGGTGACTAGGCCATAGTCAATAGTGGCTCACTTCGGGTTGACTTCACACATATCTTTGTATTTCTCAACCGATATTTGCATCCCGACGTTTTCCTTCACCGTTAGAACGTCGGGGAAATTATGTACATATGGAATTCGAAAACCTCATTGTTACATTGGATTCGAATCCAAGACCTGACGATTACAAGTCAAGTTCCACCTTTGAGCCATCGACGCTCTTAGTTTCATTATATCAGACAAACTAAAAAGATTTCGATTCGTTCTGTCTCGGTGGGTTTACACCAGGGGTCGGCTTTAAGCCCGTATCTGTTCCTCCTGGTAATGGATGCTTTGACATTAAACATACAGGAGGAGGCACCCTGGTGTATGCTTTATGCCGATGACATCGTGCTTGTCGGGGAGGATGAATGCGAGGTACAGAGCAGGTTGGAAGAATGGCGGGTTAAATTGGAGGGAGCTGGTCTTAAAATCAGCAGGACCAAAACTGAACATTTGTTTTGCGATTTTGGCGGTCCGACCAGCTTCTCTCCAATCGCCTTAAATGGTGTGCCTCTACCAACCTGCTCCGATTTTAAGTACCTCGGTTCTCTAGTCCAGTCCGACGGTGGCGTTGACCGAGACGTAAAAAGCCGAATTAATGCAGGTTGGATGAAATGGCGACAGGTTACTGGTGTGACTTGTGATCCAAGAATGCCTCTTAGGCTTAAGGGACAGATCTACAAGTCCATCATAAGACCTGTCGTGTTGTATGGATCTGAATGCTGGGCCACCAAAGTTGCGGATGAAAGGAGATTGCATGTGGCTGAGATGCGTATGTTAAGATGGATGTGTGGTGTGACAAGATTGGATAAAGTTAAGAATGTGTACATTAGAGGAAGTTTGAAAGTAGCGCCAGTGGTGGAGAAATTGAGAAGCAAAAGGTTAGCGTGGTATGGACATATTATGCGACGAAATGATGGGGACATAAACCAGAAAGTGTTGAGATTGAATGTGGATGGCTACAAAGGAAGAGGAAGACCGAAGAAAGTATGGATGGATTGTGTGAAGGAAGATATGCTTAAGAAAGGAGTGGATTCAGATATGACGGCTGATAGAGATGTATGGAAGAGCAGCACATACTGTGCCGACCCTCCATAAGGGATAAGGGCAAGTGGATGATGAGACAAACTAAAAAGATTTAGGTACCAATCGTTGAAAAAACGGTGACAACCTTATTTCAAGTCTACACACTTTTCGTCTGTTTCACAAAGTATACCGTATTTATTTTGGACCTAGAGGTATACCTCTAGTTCACATCATTCTTTCTCCACTTACCATCAATTCTCAAATAATCATTCAATATCTGGAAGAGAGGGAAGGAGTCCCAGGTGTCTGGAGGTTGTTCTGAGAGCACGCGGTCCATGTCCACTCCGAACAGCGCCCAGAAGATCTCCGCATGTTCTACCAGCAGCTCCGAGAACCACGCGAATGCCTGGTAGAAGATATAAAGAAGTAAAGAAGGGTACAATATGTATTATATAGAAATAGTTCTAAATTTAATACTAGTATTGCTCGCGACTTTGTCTACGTGAAATTTAAGATAGTTACTCAGCGATAAAATAGCTTTCTAATGATGAAAGAATTTTTAAAATTGGTATAACTAGTAGTTTTTGAGTTATTTCAAAACATACAATAATCCAAAAATACAAATCTTGCTTTTTTAAATTATTAGTAGTTATAGAAAGTTATGGGAGATAGTTTTGGTCTTTTATGTCATAAATTGCTTTTAATTTTTGTCAGGTTTCCTCGTATATGCTGTAACATTTATTTAACTTTTAAACCATTTTAAAAATTACTAGTTTACGTAGACTTTTGGACTTGGTAGATGGCGCTATCTACGTTTACTTGATGTCAAAGTTAATTTGTAATTCGAACATTTTTTTACATTACCTGTTTCGAAGTACAAAATGTTTATGTGCTTGTCGTAAATAATTTATTTGGCATAATCTTGCAAACTCATAAACATTTTCATGAAACATGCTTTCCATAAAAACAATAGATATATCGTACCTAAATAGCCTAAACATTCTTTCTACAAGAACTAATAATGCAGATTAACTATTTATGGTATGAGATGGAAGTTATCGGAAATGGATGGTAGGAAAACTATTCTTTACAAAAAAGACACAAAGTGATCTAAATAATAAACAACAAAAAACTAGTTTTCATAGTAAAATCATTTTGACGGCTGATTGCGGGAAATTATCTAAATCGATCGACTTTTCTAATATCGAAGCAATCGTTACTTTGACAGCTGTCAAAATGTCAGCTTACAGTGTACGGAGTTAAAGCATATTGTTTGTATTTGTAAAGCAGTCTAAATAAGCGATAAGGTAAATAGTAGTGTATGTGAAAATGTAGAGTTTAAATGGAATATAAAAGTGTTGTCTGTCGTGGGGGGATTTGGAAAGAGTTATGGCAACACTTTTCATTGCAAACGATAAGACTAATCCCTGCCAATTCTGCCAACTGTTGGAAAGAAATCGAATAAATTTTGAGCCCAGAATGAAAAGATTACGATCATTTACCCGACACTCGCAATAATAACTATCAAAATTTAAACTATGCAATAATTTTACCCAATAATTGAACATCGACCAGTCATTTTTTAGTTGAAACTTTTGACATCATAAAACAATCACACTCGCTTTTGCCAATTTACATTTAATTTCGCAATAACGTAATGATTTACCCAAATTTGTCTCCAGCTTTTTTATAATTAAATAAATGATACTCGCAAATTCAAAGCGAGATTCGGAACTAGTAAGACTATTTTTTTATTGAATGAAAAGTCCAGGATATGATTTTTTGTAAACTGTTGGTCTGGAAATAGCATGCGTAATGAAAAAATCGAGTTTATGTTTACGCTCATTCACACCCTGTAAGTGTCGAGTAAGTGTTAAGAGAGTGTGAATGTATACTGTCATGTTACAAATAAACAACTATCTAGTATCTAAATGATATCTGGTCATGCATAGCTTTCAATTTTGAATTCTAACCCTAGAACCGCAATGACCCTTGTATTGTATACTGTTATCCCTTTCATTCTATTCGAAAAAAGTGAGATAGCAATAACAAGTTTCAATGCAGTCGATACCCACGATGTCGAAGCGAGTGTCGCTACTCCCCAACAAACAAAGGGTGATCCAAAAACTGCGTGATAAAATGAAGACCGAGTGATTTAAAAAATTTGACAAGTGATTCTTATTCAGCCATGAATCAAAATTCTGAGTAGTAGTTACATTTTGCTGACCGCTAGAGTCCGCTTTTGTGTTATAAACCTGTGGAGAAATAAAAGGTAAGATAGAAGGACGGAAAAAATCATAGATTACTTGGCGTACTATCGAAATCGACAAGTGAATAGGACAATTATTTAAAAAAAAACAATCTTGATAAATACTAGTCCATTATCTCTATACTCGTAAGTATCAAGTATGGTATGTCCTAGTACAAAAAAATCATATAAAGTATTAAAAAATGTTCAGTTGCTACATTTTTTTAAAAGATTCACTTGACGATTAAGCGACACAAAGTTTTAACTAAAATTTGAATTGAAAAACTCAATTTCTAAAAATCTATTGATGAAGAGCCTAATATTGTAAAGTTTTTTGGATTTTCTTTAAATGTATTAGATATCTTTAGGCTCAATTCAATGATTTTGATAGACGAGTAGAAAGTTAGATTTTTTTGCATTTAGTAACCAAAAGTTTAGCCAATTTTTTAAGAAATTAATGAGCCGTAAACATTGCAGACCAAAAAAGTTTAGAAGTAGTTGTTGAAACAAGAAATATAATTATTAATTAAGAATTCTGTGCGGTTCATATTTTTTAAAAATATTTAACGAAGAGAAAAAGTCACTAATTTTTTTTTCTATTCAGTTTTTTACGTCTGAGAAACATTCATCATTTAATTATTTGTTTCGTTTTATTAGAAAAAAAAAAATATATATTTACAGCTCATTTTTTCACAAAACAAAAAAAAACTGCCTGATCATTCTCCACACTAATAGCGAGACAGGAGAGTAGGGTGCTAGTCCAGTAAACACAGACAAATTGCAAGACAAAACTTTTTACAATACCAAATTCACAACTAAATTCAGAAATAAATTGACACATTTTTGAAAAAAAAAAAATTTTTTTTTGTAATGTAAAAAATTTTGCTTTTATAGATACCACGACATATATGAACACAGATAATTTGATATTTCGAATTGTAAGTGATTTCCTAACTTGATTTTTCATTTTTTTTATAACTTACAGCTCGAAAATTATGTTATCTATGTTTTATGTGAGAATACCTCTGCGTAATGTTCTTCGTTTTGCTGCAGAAGATCAACGCATAACTCTGCCAGATGGATCAGATCTTCTAACTTCTTAGCTGGTGTCACCATTGTTTCTCCTCTTAGATCCTCTGTAAACAAGTAAAGGATGATTTTAAATCAATACTAATTTTATGAAGTGGAAAGATAATAATTTTGTAAGTCAAAAACTACTAAGCCGATTTCAAAAATTCTTTTACCATTAAAAAGCTACGTTATCACTGAGTAAAATAGGCTATTTTTCACGCGGGCGAAGTCACGAAGCAAGTTTACTGTTCTGCACTGGTCCAGTCTTTCCCAGTTCTTGCCCAATTCTTTCGATTTTGGCTGCATTTATTCAATAACTTAGCAAAAGACTATATGAAATGTGATCTAATTGTTGTCATTCAATGATTTAAAAAAATATATCAAGTTTTAAAAATCGTTAATCATCATTTGTCCAAATCGCTCTACTAGTTCTTCGTCAGTCCTAATTTTTCCAGTAAGCAATTTAGTTAAAAAAGTATCCTAGAAACGGCAAACGTTACTTACCTTCAATATTAGCTTTCTGGCTAAGCTGCGTGTAGTTAAGCAGCGCTGCATTCTCCAGACTCGTCTGGATCATTGTCCGCACTTCCTCGGGCGCGACCGGCGTCACCACATCCTTCATCAGAACTCGCTCCAGTAACGATAGAGTCGCCTGGAATTTTTTTTTTCAACACCTTTTAATCTTGTTTTTTACACATATAAAACAATGGAATGTCTGTATGACATATCGATTTTTTTAATTTCACGATATTAAAATGGTCACCGGAATGCTATCTTTAGAACAGGTGGACCAAGTTTGGCGAGAATTTGACTGAAACATAGCTGGTAGAAGTTAACAGGAATGTTATAGAGTACCAAATTCCGCGACAGCACATATATAAATAAATCTATTTTTCAGATTAATGTTATTTTAGAAATTCAAGTATATTCATTTTTTTTATATCTACCTTGAGTGCTCCCTCCGGTCTTCCGAACGGGAACGCGTATCTAAAGTTGGTGATCTGATGCTGCAGGAGGGTCTTCAGCCTGTCCTTGATCTCCGCGAACTTCTCTTTCTCCTGCACGGTGATGCTGCCCACGCCGTCGGGCCTGCCAGGCAACGTGGCCGTACTGTGAACCACTTGTTATGTGGGGCTTACTCTAGTAGGGCACAAGCGGGATAGGGTCGGACAAGGTCTTGGCGGCACAATATATTACAAATATCATTTAAACCATCCATCTTTTATTATCAGTCTTGTAAACAATTAAATGTACTAATTTACAAAGTTGGTCCTTTGAGCAGTTAAAAGTTGCCTCTTATTAATATAAGAGTGAATTGTACAGCCAATCCCATAGATCCGTAAACAGAAATAGTTAGTATGAAGAACAGGTTACAAGTTAGTTTGCTAAGCACACAAATACACATAAGGAGATAGTCACATAAATAGATTTAAAGTCTAAAAAAGTGAGGTAGTTTAGTAAATCCAGGTACACATTTAGTGCGGCATTCAAGGGACGTGGTTATTTGATGCTGTGTTATAATTCTAATCGTCATCTGTATATTATACAATTAACATAGCTACATTTCTTTGACGGCTCAGTAAGTTCAGTTTTTAGTTGGTGCATTTAGTAAACCGAACGGCAAATGAAATAAGTTTGAAGTCTTATTTTCTTCATTATTGGACTTAGTTTAAAAATTATTGGATTATATTTTATGTAAGAATTTAAAAATGTAACACAGCTTCAAATGTAAAGTAATAAATTAAAACAGTCATACACATTTACTAGTGTTTCGTTTAAGTAAAGAAATTACAAGGTTATCGTTCTATATAGACATAAAGAGACACGTAGATAAATCCAAATAGAATAGGATGATTCATACAGAAAACCCACAAGCAAGTGTTACATAAAATACGAAAATGCACAAAAAATTTCTCGTTTATCATTGTTTTAAAATTTCATACAACATAGTTTTTTGGATAACATAATTGAGTTTCATTCAACAATTTCCACATCTATAGTCGAATTAAATTGAAATTAGTTGTCTAAATAACTTTGCCTTTATAACATTGTAAACTGACTTATTAAAAAACATACAGACAAATTGAGTACTTCCCTTTTTTGGGAAGTCGGTGAAAAATAATAAAAAGACGTTTAATCATCAAATCAAAATACTTCAAAATAACATTGTCTATGATATGTAAATATAATTTCTCATTTCAATTGAATTCGAGAACACATTTTTTTCACCAAACTTAAATTTAAGAGTAGACACAGTTTTAGAGCAAAAAAACACTCACCTGTTGCCATGCACGTGGCTGGCGCAGAACGCGAAGGAGTAATGCATGAGGGTAGGGTCCACAGTCTGCTGGCCACTCTCCGCCACGTCCAGGAGGTCCGAGAGGTAGCAGAGATGGCGGTAGCAGCCGCGGACTCCGTATCTAGCGCAGTACTCGTCTAGCACGAACACTTGGCCAGGGGAGAACCAACCCTGGAACGAATTAACGAAATATACTTAAGACAAAAATTTAAAGATCGGTACACATATAGAAAAAATATGATATTGCAGTTTTACATTAATTATAATTTACACATATTTGTTGATTGAAATCAAGGTATTTAAGGAATATAGAAAAGGCATAGTGTTATAATAGTTTCATCCGTCCCACCTTTTAGTCAGACTATCACCAATAAGGCGATGGAACCGTTTAGAAATAAGAATAAGTTCCAACCGTTCCTTCGTCGCAAAAGGTGCGACGGATGAAACTTTTTATTCTCATCTGTCTCCACGTAGGGACAGCGAGGTGACGGTTAGGAATAATCCCGAATTACTTCAAAAACCGAGTGTACTTCTTGTCAGCAACGCTACTGCAGTTACTCTGGATATGTTGGAGTTCCAATTGCTTGTTTACCCACTTTTTATAAATAAAATATCATTTATTGCCTGTGTAAATATGGAATCTTACCAAAGAGCAGTAAGGGTCTTGAAACCGATATTTAAGTGTCAACGACTGTAGGACACAGAAGAGCTGGTGGTGATCGAATTGGCAGGGATCCGCTTGGATGTAATCCTCCATTCCATGCTTGCGAGCCTTATCAGCATCTGGAAATAATTAAATGGAACTGTGGACTTTAAAATAAGTGATGCTATAGTCTTCGATTCAAAAAGTCTAAGGGCCTGTCCCACAATTCTTGTTAATAATTATATAACAATCGAACGTATAAAATATGTGATGGAAATATTGGATTTTGGTATTCTATTTCACAGTGACGTCACTTTTAGGCTATCTGACTTTCTATCAGCCAGTGGGAGAGGCCCTTAGTTTCTTAATTGAATGAAATTTTAATTGTGAGGTTGACGAAGTATTATATCTGGAAGAAATTCAAATCATGATTCCAAGAGATAGTAACTATACAAAGTATTAAGGTGTATTCTTTGATATTTTGGACATTTTGTGCTTATGTTTGGTCTACTGTCTTGTACTTACCTCCCATGATCTTGATATGTGTATCCGAGGTGGTAGGAGGTGTTGGCTTGTGGCTCTGTCCAGTAGCGCGGTACAGTGCCATCACCCACAAGTGACATTCATTCTCGTCGCTCACTCCCATCAAGACCGACTCGCCGTCACGGACCGCGTTCATGAAGTATTTCGCTCCTTCCAATTCTAGATCAGAAGTTAAAAGGAAAAACGCTTAAAATATACAAGTTCAGTATCTAAATTTCAAGTATAAGATTAAATAAAATAAATAGGATTTTTGTTGCCACAAAAAAATACATATGAAATCTTATAAACAACCTAAGAGTTAGTATAAAATGTGGCAAAAGGTGGCAAATTCAATTAATGCAGGCGCAAGCCGTTTCTGTGCTAGTTTTTAGCTGGCTCCTTTACACATAAATATTGACACATAGTTAAGATTAAAATTTAAATTTTTAAAAGGTAATAATTTTAAGAGATTTTAATATTTTTAAAGAACAGAAACAAACAGAAATCTTACCTTGACCAACCATCAGTTGAGCTAAAAATGAAACAAAAAATTATTATTGATAAAATTAGTAAATAAGCAAAGATATCTAATTTACAAAACAAATTAGACAATTATCTTACCACTGGCAAGTTCAATATAATCTACAGTGAACCCATCAAGTTGCATCATTTCCGCTGGCTCAGACTTCTTGTCCTTGTAGGAGCACAGCGCGAAGGTGTACTGGCTTACTTGAACCAACACCATGTAGCGACGCTTCCATTTGCGCCATACATTCTTACCAATTACATGGAGATATCTAGAAGAAAAGAATATGAATTCAAAAGTAAACTATAAGACGTAAAACCAGCAAAGACCTTGTATATGCCGTCTCCTTCACATTCTATAGTGAGCGAGTGTGATAGCTTAACTAAAGAAGTAAGTTACATGCTAAAAAGAGATACTTGCCCGCAATGTTTCATATTCAAAGGCTTGTCCATTCTGCACGCAATTTTGATCCTTAAATCTTGGTCAGGTAAGTTCTTTGGCACTGTCATACGATGCCATTCAGGGGCCTAAACAAGTGTAAATAATTATTCTAAAATAGCTTTCGCCCGCGACTCCGTCCGCGTGGAATTAAAAAAAACAAAAGTGAGTAGCCTATGTGTTCTTACAGACTGTCTTTTATGTCTATGCCAAATTTCATCGAGTTCTGTTGAGCCGTTTAGACTACAATCTCTAATAAACATCCATCCATTCATCCATCTAAACTTTCGCATTTATAATATTAGTAAGATATAATATTAGAAACAAGTGCAAAGTCAACAAGAGTCTCGGTGGTTCAGGGGTTTAAACACTTGACTTATAATCTACAGATCTTGGGTTCGAATCCCGCCGTACCAAGGTGGCATTCGAATTTCATATGTACATAATTTACCCGACGTTCTTACGGTGAAGGAAAACATCGTGATGGACTTATCGGAGAAGAAATTCAAAAGTTATGTGTGAAGTAAACCCGCAGTGCAGGTCGACTATGGCCTAGTTACCTAACTTAGGCGAGGTTATGAGCCCCTTGGTGGGGACCTATAGTGAGATGCTAAGGAAATGCAAAGTATAATTAGACAGATGAGAAATAAAATTTTAGGTTACCTTGCTTGAAAGAGGTGTAGGTCTCAGAACAACTTTGCCTAACTCCTTGTCCTCGAGAGCTAGAACTCCTGGGTTTTCTGTGTACAGCTTCACTTTCACAGCTGGCAGAGGCTGTGTCGTGCTAAAGTCACCTTGAGTATCCCACCTGTTTTTTTTAAACATGTTTAACAAGATTGTCCGAATTTCATTGTTGATGATGATTGAATATATTTTCTATATACAATAAGTGCGCACAAAAATATAAAAAGATATGTGTGAAGTCAACCCGCAGTACAGGTTGACTATGACCTAGTCACTAACTTAGGGTAGGCTCCGAGCCCCTCGCTGGGGACGTATAGTGAGCTAGTGATGATGATGATGAAGTGCGCACACCTTTCTTTAAACTATAGCACAACTGTTTAGACTCTCTTTAATTCCTTTTTTTTATAACATAAGGTGGCAAACGAGCAAGCGGCCACCTGAATCCGCCAAAGTGGCTAAGCGACCGCTGCCCATAGACATCCGCGATTGCAGATGCGTTACCTACCCTTATCCGACAGAGGAGGAGATGCACATAAAGAGGACATTTCCCCTTCCTATGCATCTCCTCTACCGTCAAATCCACTTTCCGTTCCCATCCTCTCCTTATAAGAAAAGGGTGGTACAGAGAAAAGGACTTAAATTAGGCCTCCGGCACTACATTCATTAGACGAAACACGGAATCTTCTGGAGTCTTCTGTGTGGTCGTGGTATTACTGGGGGCGTGCCGGCCCTGCAGTGCTAAGATGTTAAAGCGGGCACTACCACTTTCATAGGCTTCTAAGCACACTACTTGATTTTTAGTTGTGCAACTAAACAGTTAGGCTGAAACAAATAACAATCGCACAACTGTTGTGCGATAGTTTACTCAAAAGTGTGCGTAAATATAATTCTTACATAGGTTTCGAGGCCTCAGCTTGGTCCGTCTGCAGTTTGTCACCTCCTTCCACCTCCATAGTGCAGTAGACGATCCTGTTCGGCGCCAGAGACTTCAGACCTTTCACTTCCATAACTACCACCTAGAATTGATCCTATGACAACTAGTTGTTACACCAAATCTTCCCCGAAAACACACACCAATTCCGTACGATCACCTTTCAGACAGACATTAAAGTAATTTTTGTTTACAAGGTCGCAAACGAGCAATCGGCCACTTGAATCTGCCAAAATGGCGAAGCAACTGCCCATAGACATTAACTGATGCGTTGCCTACGCTTAATCAACGGAGGAGACGCACATAAAGAGAATATTTCCTCTTCTTATGGTTCTCCTTCACCGTCAAATCCACTTTGCCTTTCCATCATATTTTTTTTTAACATTATATCTACAAAAAAGTTTAGTTATATCAAAAAAATAGTCCTCCAGCAATCAAAATCAGAGATATGTAAAACCAGCTGTATACTTGTAATACAGGAAGTGGCAATTTAAAATTTGTAAAACAGCGACACAACATCGATCCCTATATTACCTCGATTTGGAATGTTAGAACCACATCCATTTTAGTGAGTTGTGTGTCGACGTCACCACCGTCGCCCTCACCAGTCAGCTTGTTCGCTAGAGAGCCTTGCGATCTGAAACATAGCTGCTTACTCAACCTTGGACTTGGATCTGGTCCAGCATTCGATCTGTCTCAACCCAAACCCATCAAGATTATAAAAGTATTTAATTTAATATTGAAACAAATATCAAATGTTAACCAAGTGTTGGATGTTTAAAACGATATAGGGGTTTGAGGACAAACATTAAAACAAGCCCATGGTAGATGCATGGTGGCATACAAAATGGATCCATCACCGATACCAAGAATGATTAAGCATTGCAAGGGGAAACGTTACATAGTTTTTTAATACTGAACAAGCATATACTAATTCTTAATGTATGATACTAGAAGCAAAGCTCTAAACAAGCGCAAAGCATCGTCTTAAATGTATTGTTTCTTTTTTATGTACATAACTTAATAACTTGATGAGAAAGAATGAACTAAACGTAGGAAGAGAACGAGACAAGCTGTGTTAATAAGCTATTGGGTTATGATTTGTATATATTTGTATTTTTAGATCTACAAACTAAGGGTTCTTGCTATAGCTTTTCGTCTTTTAGCAAACAGCCGGGTTATATTTTCTCTACTTGTTAAATGTTTCTATTTAAAGCTAGTTTTCTGGCTGTGTTGTGAAAGCATATCCTTAGTTGTCATCTATACTGATATTTTAAAGAGAATAGATTTATTATTTTGACCGACTTCCCAAAATAAGGAGGTACTCCATTCGTCTGTATATATTTTTTAGATAGAAATAGCTCAAAAACTATTCGGCCGATTTCATAAATTATTTCATCAATAATTAGAGACGTTATCGTTGTATAACATAGGCTATATTTGTGAATTTTAGCTGGACGAAGTTGCGAGCAACAGCTAGTGTTTGAATATACCCAATTAGATACAATTCATCATCATAAACTTGCCTTTATCCCTTACGGAGGGTCGGCACAGTATGTGCTGCTTTCATACATCTCTATCAGCCATCATATCTGAATCCACTCCTTTCTTAAGCATATCCCCTTTCACACAATCCATCCATACTTTCATCGGTCTTCCTCTACCTTTGTAGCCATCCACATTCATTCTTAACACTTTCTGGTTTATGTCCCCATCGTCTCGTCGCATAAAATGTCCTTTGAGATAATGAGATACAATTAGCTACTTAAATTAGTTACGTCCTGATTTTTTTTACCATTGGATTTAACAAAAGTATTGACAATGATTATTTTAACAATAATTTTGTAATTGGTAACTGGATTTTTATTAATTTTCTTATGTCAATCAAATGTCAATTTAGATTGAAGACAAGATTTAGAGGGGCCGCTATACTTTGACTAAATTGTTGTATTGTCAATTGTTTCACAGCCAACTGTTTAGTTGCACAATGAAATATCGAGTAACCATATAAACTTATAGGAAACCGCGCAAACAGCGCGATAACTCAAAAGTCGCTATAACTCGAATTATTTTGCAGTTTTTGTACGATGACAACTGAAGGATATTAATAAAAAAAGGGTTTACTGGTTTACTGGTTTGGTGTAAAAGGGTCCCGCTACACAAACACGTGCGGAAAATAATCATTTATGTATTTATTACTTGTACTTCCTTTTATTACCGTCCGGATATGTGCCAGGGACAGAAAACCAAAATAGAAATAAACAAGTAGAAAGGATAGAGTTAAGTTTCCTAGATATTGAATCCTATCAAGTATTTTAGTCAAATAAATTAACTTAACTAGTGGATTGAAGTTATAGCTATATTAAAAAAAAATCAGTGTAACTTGTATAGTTTGATATATTGTTTAAATATTTAAGAGCCTGTCCCAACATTTGCTGATAGCTCCGATAGCTTAAAACGTCACTGTCAGAGGTAATAAAATCCGATATATTCAGCACATATTTTACATGTTTGAGACAGGACCTTAATCTTTTCATTGTATCATACAAGATGATTTTTTTCAGTGTTTTCTTAGTTTTATAATTAATAATTTAAATTTGTATGTTACACATTAGTTATGTAATGATTTTTCATTTGAATTATTATTTATATAATTTTGTTAAGTGTTTTATAATTATCTAACTTAGTGTAAAATATAATTTATATATATTTAAAAATAAACTTAATTGAACACATTTACATTGACAAAGCAATCCAACCATCAACATCTGCAACATTGACCATAGATGATAGATGGCGTTATATTACGAAAGGCGATCAAAAATTTAATGGACAGTACACAACACCAATATTTTATTCATACAATTCGATAATTACCAATTAAAATAAAGCTTTAGAAAGAAATTAATAAAATTCTAAAGACGAATTCCAATCAAAAATAACGTACTAGAAACTTTTGTAATCGAATTATATCAATAGAAACAATAATCCATTAGTCTTGGGCTTAATCGGACATCTGAAAGTGCGCACCGTACTAGTACCATTGGAAAAACGTACTAGTACACACTTTTAGTACCTTTAGTACTTCAGAATTGTGAACAATAAAATTAATAGAATATAACGAGTGTTATAGATTACTTCACATCAAATTTAAAGCAGTGTCAAACATATGTTATTAGGGAAAATAAATTTAAGTTATAAGTGATTTTATTCATTTTTTAATTCTGATTACCGAAGGATCTGGCAAATATACAACCAAATCAAACAACGAATAGGCGAACACCGATATCTAGTAGTGTACTTAAAGGGCCAAATGTTCGATTAATAGAAGCCGTTCAGTAACGTTACTTTTAGTACATTGTTTGTGTACTACCCAAGACTATAATTCATATTTTTTATAACATTTTTTGATACGAACCTGTGATTGTACCGCTTTATTCTATGCAGCCCGTATTTAGAGTCAGCACCGCCTTTTGAGACGGGCAGAGACTCTAAATTGGCCATCAGAAGATTGATCGAGGACTTCAATTCTTCTATATAGAGAGATTCCATTTCTTTCAGCACGAATTTCGGCATCAACTTGCGATTCTGATAAAAAAATTTGTATCTTTGCTTTATTTTTTTTCATAAAATGAACGACAAAAGACTATACGGCTATCTTTATCGAAATTGCTTAGATAGAAGAATAACAGAAGAAGAGTGGAAGAACAGAAAAAGAATATAAGAGCATATCCCTTCTATGTCTCCCTCTTTTGTCAAATACACTCGACTTTCACATTATTTTCTTATGAGAAAAGGGTGGGAACAGAAAGAGTATGCCACCGGTATCAACACTAATAAAACAAAACACAGAATGGTTGCAATTTTGACAAATTCATCTTCTATCTTCAACTTAACTCACTCTGGACACCTTACATTGTCATCCAGATCATTCATTCCTTCCTTTTTCATCTTTCCATTCATTTAATACATCTATCTCTTTCTAGGCAACAATGTTGTAGTTTTCAACATTTTGTTAAGTAAAAGTTAACAATTAAATGCATAATGCATTTATATAACAGTCTTTTGTTTCTTACGCAATAGACTATTTTGAAAAAAACATTTTTTTTATTTGTCCCTTAACCTATGTTTAATTTACTACCCCGTTTCAATTTATGGTATTTAAAACGAAAAAAAATCATGCAGTTAAGTTAATGTCATGTTAATAATGTCGCCTTACCTTCTCCATTTCGTTGACTTTTTGCATTCTACCATCAAGTTCTCTTCTGATAGCTGCAGCTTGTTCGTCCGCTGAATCCAACTGTTTAAAAATATTTTATTTAAATTAATAAATTAAGGCACAAATCATACATTGATGTTTTTAACTAACTAGTTTTCGCCTGCAACTCCATCCAAGTGGAATTGTAAAACACAAAGTAGCCTCTCTGTTCTTCCAGACTATCCTCTACATCTATACCAAAATTCATCGAGATCCGTTCAGCCGTTTAGGCTACAAACTCTAACAAACATCCATCTATCAAAACTATCGCATTTATAACATTAGTATGATTACAATTGGAAAAAGCTAGCGTATTCAAGCGCTAACTCTAAAAGAATTAATCCGTTATTTGAACTTATCCTATATAATGCAGATTAAAAAAAGATTTTTTTTTAATAATATAAGGTGACAAACGAGCAAGCGGCCACCTGAATCCGCCAAAATGGCGTAGCGACCACTGCCCATAGACATCCGCGATTGCAGATGCGTTGCCTACCCTTATCCGACAGAGGAGACACATATAAAGAGGATATTGCCCGTTCCTATGCATCTCCTCCACCGTCAAAACCATTTCCCCATCCCATCCTCTCCTTACAAGAAAAGAGTGGTAAAGAGAAAGGGACTAAAATTAGGCCTCCGGCACTACACTCATCAGACGAAACACGGAATCTTCTGGAGTCTTTTGTGTGGTCGTGGTATTACTGGGGGCGAGCCCTGCAGTGCTAAGATGTTAAAGCAGGCACTGCCACTGTAATTGCAGTTTATGTCGTAGTAAGTAGTGTATATTTAAAACATTGTTGTCAAATGAGTGTTTAGAATATATTTTATTCTATGCTTAATATAACAAAGAGTAAACACACACTTCTTTGTTGCCTAAGATGTCAGCAATCACAGAAAATTTTTGAATAATCCATTTTTTAATAAAAAGCCCTACACTTTACGCTTTAGTCTATGTAACGATATTAAACTTCGGGGGTAAATAAATTGGAAAAAATGTGGGAAAGTGACCATAAATTACAAACTGCCAACATTAAGGACGCAACATTATGGTAACAGTAATTTTGACATTTGTAATTTGATAAATGTAAACGATAAAATAAAGTTTTTATAATTTCATGCGGATGAAGCAGCACGGGAACAGTTATATCATGTAAATATTATAAATGCGAAAGTTACGATGGATGTTTGTTAGAGTTGTAGCCTAAACGGCTGAACGGATTTCGATAAAATTTGGTATAGATGTAGAGGCTAGTCTGGAAGAACACATAGGGTACTCAGTTTTGCTTTTTTTTCGGACGGAGTCGCGGGCGAAAGCTAGTTTGTATATAACAGTGTTACTTACCAGTAAAGCATTAAAGAGTAGTTGATGTTCAAACTTCTTAACTCCTAATATTTGCTGGAACATATCGTATAGCTGTTCCTTGCTGAGAATACACTCCGCGTTCAGACTTTGTTGCTGTGCTCTCGATGGTCGTTTAGACTCGTCATCTCCTGGTATACCTTGAAAAGTAAATACTCATTGTTAAAAAAAATTAATATAGCTTTTGCCTGCGACTCCGTCTTTGTGAAATTTAGAACAAAAATAAATATAGCCTATGTTACTCACAGATAAATTACCTTTCTAACGGTGAAAGAATTTTTAAAATCGGCTCAGTAGTTTTTGAGTTATTTCTTTATATCCAAAAATACAAATTTTTCTGTATATAATGTTAGTGAAAAAGATATCCCGATTGAAGAATAATGAAGGAATTAAATGCAAAATTCGTAGTAAAATACTGTTTTTATAACTAGAATGTAAGAATAAATAAATAAATAATAATAATTTAAATTTGTTAATACTGATTTCTTATAAATTATTGTTTTTCCATATACTTACATAATCTTTTCATGAAATGTATCACAATAGCACAATTTTAATACTCAAAGTAAGTACTTTTAAATTGTGCACAAATGACATATTAACTAAATTTTAAAATAGAATATGAATTAAAAATTATCATCGTTAACCTCAAAACTTACTTTAGTACTTACCAAATACCTAAAACATAAAAGCACTAACACATCTCAATCATTAAAACTTTCTGATAAAACAGTATTTAAAATATTGAAAATTAACATAAAACGAACTAACAGAGAACATGTTCAATTTCAGCTACAAGCAACAAATAACATAAAATTTTAATTATCGTAATATGAATAACTAATATTGCTATCTTATTTATGTCAAAGTAAATGAAAGAGATGGCAGTAAACAAGGACGTTAGTTATAAGTGTGGTAGACATAGAAAGAGATGGAAGGATAGAAAGGTGACGTGTTCAAGAAGGGAGTGACTGAGATGGATAGAGTGTGAATAACGAAAACGTAGGGGGAGATGATTAAAATGAAACAGAACTAAAGAAGGATGAGGAAAATATTGGTAGGGGTGAGTCTAGAAAGAGATAGATTGAAGAGACAAATGGTGCATCGATATGTGGGATAAGGTAGGGGGAGATGATTACAATAAAACAGAACTAAAGAAGGATCAGGGAAACATTGGTAGGGTTAAGTCTAGAAAGAGATAGATTGAAGAGACAAATGGTGCATCGATATGTGGGATAAGGTAGGGGGAGATGATTACAATGGAACAGAACTAAAGATGGATGAGGGAAACATTGGTAGGAGTAAGTCTAGAAAGAGATAGATTGAAGAGACAAATGGTGCACCGATATGTGGGATAAGGTAGGGGGAGATGATTACAATAAAACAGAACTAAAGAAGGATCAGGGAAACATTGGTAGGGTTAAGTCTAGAAAGAGATAGATTGAGGAGAGGAATGGTGCATCGATATGTGGGATAAGGTAGGGGGAGATAATTGCAATGGAACAGAACTAAAGATGGATGAGAGAAACATTGGTAGGGGTAGGTCTAGAAAGAGATACATTAAGGAGACGAATGGTGCATCGATATGTGGGATAAGGTAGGGGGAGATGAGAGATAATAATACAGATGTTACGATAATCAAGATTCAGTAAGAAACAAGCGAACAAACAAGCGAACAATAAGACACAAGCATAGCATTAGGAAAATGAACTGTCCGATGATACCTGTTATTCCTGTTCGAGTGTGAGAGAGACATGTCGTGAGAGAGAGGGACAGAAACACAGAGTAAGACAGATGCAGACTACACACTTCGGTACAATGTCAGTGTTTAGTGTTGAGTTTTCTTGCAACAAATAATTTAATACTTTTATTTTCATATTGAAATGTAGAGATTGTTATTAAAAGTGAATTTCATAGTTCTTTGACATTGTTGCGAAAAATCTCTTTTTGTAAAATCATTGATGTATTCTAATTATTTTTTTTATGTTAGTAGATTTTTTTTAATTTACTCATAATACCTTTAACTATCCCAACTAAGCTCTTGGCTTGTGCTAGGATATGGTTTACAATAGTCGAATGGCGGGATTAGAACCTTCGATCTCAAGATCGGTACTCCGTACCGCAAACCATTTGGCTATTGACGCTTCTTGTTTGTTTTTTTGTGTTCTTGTTTCGTTATATTAGATATTTCAACTGTCTTGTAAGGTTAGATATCCCATGTAATGGAATTGAGGTAAAACTAACAACTATTGGGCACACTGATCAATTTTTCTCAAACATTGAAATGCAGATAAGCTAAAGTGATGCGTACACACATAGCACATGCCCATTCATTGGCACACCTAGGAGATAAAGAGCACGCCTTTGACTAAACTATCGCATGACTGTTTAGTCGCACTTTGATTCATGACCTTAGGTTACTACTCTTAGTCCCATCAAATTGTATCTGATAATAATCCAACGTGTAAAACATGTGAAAGAAATATCGAGTATTGTTTTAAGCTATCTGAGACTCTATCAGCCAGTGGTGGGACTAGTCTAAAATTATGAAACTAAACAGTTAAATTGACTGCGAAATCGACAGTCAATTGTGCGATTTTTTGGTCAAATTGTGTGCTCTAAAGTCACGAAGACAAAATTAAATCACAAAATATTGAAATAATGAATTAAAAAACTTGATAATTCAATAAATAACAGCTAGAAATTTTATCCTCGTGACTGTATCTCTTTTGATATTAAAGTAAGGTTTTTTCTTACCAGTTCCCTTCATGATACAATCCAGTTTAGCAAGCCATGTCGTTACTACAGTCTCTTTGCTTAATCCATCTATTTCTGGTAAAGACCTGTGGAAGAAATTAGAATTTGAAGTAAAATTAGAGCAACTATCAGATAAAGAAGAAAGTATTAAGATTGAATGTTGATGACTACAAAAGAAGACTGGATAAAGTATGTATTTTTTTTATTATAAGGTGGCAAACGAGCCAGCGGTCACTTCTACCGAAATGCCGAAGCGATAGCCCATATTCGCAATAGCGGATGCGTTGCCTACTCTTAATTGACGGAGGACGCACATAAAGAGGATATTTCCCCTTCCAAAGCGTCTCCAGCGTCAAATACACGTTTCCTTTTCATCCTTTTCTTATAAGAAAAGTGGGAAAAATTGAGCCTTCCTATGGATTGTGTGAAAAATATACTTAAGGGAATTCAGATATGACGGCTGATAGAGTATGGAAGCAGCACTGTGCTGACCCCTTAGGGACAAGGGCAAGTTGATGATGAGGTAACGAGTCATATATAGATTGAACACATATAAACAATATGAAAAAAAAAATAAAAAACCTTATACCATTACCTGGATCCGAGTCATCTAAAAATATCTTTATCGGACAGAAAATAACAAACATACTAATATTATGAATGCGAAAGTTTAGATGTTTGTTAGAGATTGTAGCCTAAACTGCTGAACGGATCTCGATGAATGTCATAGATGTTGTTAGCCTGAAAGAATAGGCTACTTTTTTTATTCCACGGGCAAAACCTAGTCTATATCTATACTAATATTATAAAGAGGAAAGATTTGTATTTTTGATTTCTCGTATGTATTGAAATAACTCAAAAACTAATGGGCCGATTTCAAAAAATGTTTCACCATTAAAAAGCTACGTTATCAGCGAGTAACATAGGCAATGTACAATTTTACGCGGACGAAGTCGCGAGCAACAGCTGGTACAATAAACAAAATCTGACCTGACTCGTTTTTCAATGTTATTTCTGAATACTTCGCGGAAGTCGTGATGTGAGCAGGCACCAGACTTCACCATCTGCTCCACTCGTTCTGATTTGAGGAACACATCGTAGTAGGATTGTACCGCGTTCTGGAATGCCTCGTCTGCTAAGATTTGAGTTTCACCTTTGAGGAACGCCTGTAAAAAAATATGAAGAAGATTGCAATAAATTGGATATTATTAAAGAAGTTTCTAGAAATAAAAGTGCACAGACTAATTCCAATGATGTAAGTTGATATATTAATGAAGAATTTAAAAGAACCTGAAACAAATATCAAGTAAATACAAGAATTAAAATTAGTGAAGTGAAGAAGAAGTGAAGTGAAAAATGAGATGAGATTTACACAGTTCGTCTTATTTCTAATACCACGCGGACGTAGTCGCGGGCAAGAGCTAGTTTAAGATAAAGAAAAAATGCTGTATTTAATAACAAACCTGGAATCGAGCTTGGATAGTCTCGAGCTGATGTGGTGTAAGTTTTGTATGTCTCCTTGTCATGTCTGTTGGTTGCTTCGCGTTGAAAGGATGAGCTATACATCTTGATACGAACACGTACAGCTGCAGGCGACGCTTCTTATCCTCTTCCAACTTCTCGATTTTCTCCTTTAAACGAAAGAAACTTCATTATATTCTATTTAATCTTCTTTTGTTATCTACACGTTATGTTTCGTTTATTACAATACTAGTTTTCGCCCGCGACTCCGTTCGCATGGAATTTAAAAAAAAGTGAGTAGCCCATGAGTTCTTCGGACTATCCTCTACATCTGTACCAAATTTCATCAAAATCCGTTCAGTCGGTTAGGCTACAAACTCTAACAAACATCCATCCATCTAAACTTTTGCATTTATAACATTAGTATGAAGTATGACTAGCTCAGATTGGTACAGCGGGATTCGAACCCAAGACCTGTAGATTAAAGTCAAGCGCTTCAACCACTGAGCTCGACGCTCTATGACTTCCTACCTATAAATACCTGATATTTAAGGGTTAGCAACAATGTTAAGAAAAGAAGATACCTGTGGATCTTGATCTTTATCCGAATGGCTGGTACCAGATGGACTTGGAGAAGGTGCTGGTGCTTCCCCGGAGCTGGCGCTGCCCGTTGACGTCCTGCGCAAGTACGATCTAAAAGATCGACAGCGTTTAAATTGATGTCATATGAAATGTTCACACAAACAGATACTTAACCCTTTTATTAGATATTCTTGGTTTGATGTTCTGTTTCTTGTACATCCGTGTGTGTAAACTTATGGTCATGTTGTGATACTAAAGATTAAAGGCCTGTCCCACCACTGGCTGATAGAGGCTCAGATAGTAAAATGACGTCAATGTCAGAGGTAACAGAATCCGATATTTCCATCACAGGTCACACACTGGATTGTTATCAGACAGTTTATGAATTTGGTAGGGCTGACGCTAAATTAGACATTTACTTCTACTTCTATCAGTTTATTCATCATCATCATCCTCCTCATTATCCTACTCCCGTAAGGTCGGGTTTGATCCTCCAAACAACTCTATCATACGTCATCTCAGTCATCACTCCCTTCTTGATCATGTCACCTTTCACGCAATCCATCTCTTTATAAGTAACTTCTATAAGTTTACTATTAAATATAACATCGTCTCTTTCATTTCTTCATCTACTTGTTTAATATTTGTTTCTATAAAAAATCTATGCATAATCTACTTTTATCTACGATGTTTCGTGAGACGAAATGGTCGTGGATTTTATTTGGATTATTTACTTACGCATGTGGTGGAGGCGCAAGCGCTGCTTGCTCCCGCTGTCTGGTCGCTGGATGAAGAGGAGCAGCCAATGGTGCGGTGGTTAAAGGACTGGCACCTGAGATCATCAGTATTAAATAATATTGCTCACTAGCTTTCGTTAACGACTCTGTTCGCGCGAGATTAGAAAAAAACGGTGTAGCTTATGTGTTCTTCCAGATTATCCTAGACATGTATGCCAAATTTCATCGAAATCCGTTCAGCAGTTTAGGTTACATACTCTAACAAACATCCAATCTAAACTTTCACATTTATAACATTAGTAAGATAATATGCGGTGTAATTTACAAGGCATTTACGTAGGGTTAGCGGGGAGGCACAGCTTTGACTATTCTACACAACTGTTGTGTGACTGTTTGTTTCGCAGCCAATACAACTGTTTAGTTGCACAACTAAAAACCGACTAGTGTGCACCTCCATATAAGCTCATAGGAATTAATGCGAGACTAAAGAGTTGTGCGATAGTTTAGTCAAGGTTGCGCCGTACTCTTACGAGGATACCAGAGAAGCAACAATGGGAATATTACACCGTCATGTTGGTCAATAAACACTATGAGTGAGAAGTTTTACATGCTTTTATATTCAATTACATATCGCATAAACTCAACGTCACAAATTATAAATGCAAAAGTTTAGAGTCGTTTTTTTGCTATTTTATTAGACTAAAACCTCTAATAAAGTGAACATAAATAAGGTATCAAATTTAAACTCAATTGAATTTATCTAAATTTAAAACTTTAAATTACTTTCGTCATAAACTATCTCAAAGCTTTATGAATGAATATTTTCAAATCTCTCTTCATTTAGCTCCCGACGGCCTCAGTAGGTCAACGACGTTTCTTTAATTTCATGAAACCGTAAGCACTTTTTAATGAAATGTTTATATTAAAAGTATTATTTTTAGATCATTCTTATGTCAGTATTTTTTACTATAAACATATTAAACATCTCATTAACTATTATCAAATATTTTTTAATTCTAACCTAAAATTACTACGTAACACATTAGGCGTTAACAAATTATCTAAAGATTACCATTCTCTGTAAGATAGGGGTTATCTATGATATTATACCTATACAAATATAATAGACATGAATAAAATTATTTACCTGGTAATCCAGCAGTAGACCCTCGTGGTAGCTCCGGTTTTCCACGCACTGAAGGGCGTCCGCCCACCAGAGATCCTGGCGGCACTAATGAGAAATAAATAAAGATGATGAGTAGATCCTTTTCGTTTTATTAACAGCAGGATTTATCTAGGGCATGCAGAGAATGAGATGTGTATGGATGGATTGTAAAAGAGGGTATATGCTAAAAAAGCGAATTAAGTTGACAGTTAATGTGTTAGGTAGACTAAATAGTGTGCCGTGATTTAGGGAAAAGGAAAGGATTTTAGACTATGTTATGGTCGTGTTTTGAATAAATCTTTTTAGTTCTTTCATGTAATCTATACGATTATAATGAAGTGTAAACACACACTTATTTGTTGCCTAAGATGTCAGCAATTCCAGCATATTTTTTAAATAATTCTTTTTTTTTTAATAAAAAGCCTTACACTTACGTCACGCTTTAGGCTATATATCTTCACCCTGTCAAACTTAGAGGGTAAATAAATTGGACAAAAACCTTAATGTGGGAAAGAGACCATAAATTGCTCCCAACATCAAGGAAGCAAGGTTGTCATCATGTCATGTCATTTTGACATTTGATAATTCGACAAATGTAAACAATACAACAAAGTTTTTATAATTTCATGCGGATGAAGCCGCACGGTAACAGCTAGTAGTATTTAAAATCTCATTACTGTTTTTGTATATAATATCGAAATATAGAGGAAAAATCATATGGCATTTGCTGTTAAAATAATTCCAGATCCTCAAACGTACAAAGATAAATATTTTTTTATATGCTTAAAATCTAAATCATACTTCATACTAATATTATAAATGCGAAAGTTTAGATGGATGTTTGTTAGAGTTTGTAGCGTAAACTGCTGAACGGATTTCAATGAAATTTGGCATACATGTAGTGGATAGTCTGGAAGAACACATAGGCGACTTACTGTTTTTTTAACACCACGCGGTCGGAGTCGCGGGCGAAAGCGAGTATGTTTATATTTCAGTTGAAATATATAAAATTCCCTTTGTAATTTTAAGTAGGACCTTTAAATCCTAAACACCTACACAACGTCTATCAGGCTTTTCATTTTTAATAACCAAGCCCTCCTACACTTTAACCTTTACAATATAAATGTTACATTTAATATTTATTTATAACTAGCTGTTCCCGTGCGGCTTCATCCGCATGAAAATGTGAAAATTTTATTTTCTGTTTACATTTGTCAAATTATCAATAGCAAATGTCAAAATGACATGACATGACAAACCTTGACAGTTGCTTCCTCGATGTTGGCAGGAACTTATGGTCTTTCCCACATTAGGGTTTTTATCTAATTTTTTTACCCCCTAAGTTTAATAGCGTGAAAATATATAGCCTAAAGCGTGACGCAAGTGTAGGGCTTTTTATTAAAAAAATAATTATTCAAAAATATGCTGTAATTGCTGACATCTTAAGCAACAAATAAGTGTGTGTTTACATTATATTATAATAGTATAGATATAGATATAGATACTAGCTTTTGCCCGCGACTCCGTTCACTTGGAATTAAAAAACAAAAGTAGCCTATGTGTTCATCCAGACTATCACTCTAACAGACATCCAACTAAACTCTCCTATTCACAATACTAATATTATGAAGAAAAAAGATTTTTATTTTTGTATGTATTGAAATAACTCAAAAACTACTGGGCCGATTTTAAAACTTCTTTCACCATTAGAAAGGTAATTTATCTGTGAGTAACATAGACTATGTTTTTCATTAGGTTTAATTCCTCGGGGACTAAGTCGCGAAGAACAGCTAGTTCATAACATAAGTAACATAAGAAGAAAGAAAGGGCTAGACTATTAAGTTACATGATTTGACCTACATAAATATTGAGGTCCAAGTTTTATTGTTTGATCACAAGGGTCTCTAACGTTCCGGTTTTTGTATTTGATGGGAGCGTATTGTACCGAAATAAACGGAACAAACAACGCTTTATTGTCCTTTGAAGCCACAATAAAATGTTGACAGTAGAATTAATTGTAGTTCAAACGTTCATTTTACGGTTGAAAGTTGTAAATGTTAAAAAAAAACTCGAAAAAACCTATGCTTTATATGATATAATAAAATTATTAGCAGTAAAAGTGAAAATTTACGATAAAAGGACATTTTATCGCTTGCTTATTTATAACTATTACTTTACGTACTTTAATATCGCCAAATATCTTTTGAACAACGACATCTATCGGTGTAATTACACATTTTATCTACATTAATGTTATAAAGAGAACCGATTTTTGACGGACTTTCTAAAAGCTAGTGGTACTCAATTACGAACGAAGTAGCGGGCAAGTGTTAAATAAAGTTAATTTACACGATAACGAGGTTTAAGCTAAGCGCCATCTGCACTCGGCCACGTCAAGCCCGATAAATCTGTAAATGCCTCTTTAAAGCAAACAGTGGCAACTCACAAAACAAAATTAACACGGCCCTATGTAATCTTGTAAGTCAGTTTTCTTACCCTGGGAAGCTTTTGACATCCGTATTATACAGGATGTATTCACATACTTGTGAACACGAGACAATGTCAAGAGTTCAATGTAGTCTAAGAGACTACTAGATGCTGAGAGTTTGAGTTAGGTTTTATAAGTTTAGTGTATTTTATCTTTGTCCATATAAATGTTGCCAAGAGCAAGCTCCTCCCTAGATATAAAAACTACTACGTATAGGTTCACATTAAAGTCTAGGCTTAGATTGGATCGACGTCTGTGTAGACTTGAATATTTTTTGTTTATCCATAAAATGTATTAGAAATAATTTATATATATGTAGGCTTACTCTATGCCCATGGCGAACACCGAGCACTGGTATGGCGGCCATTTTGTGATTC